CTTGAACATTCAGAAAGAGTGCATATGAAATTCTAATCACGAAAGGTGTTCCCCGACAGGATGCATACCTAGAGTTTGTTTTGTGAAGCGCGTCAATTCTCTCCTGGGGAACGTCTTCGTGAGCCTCTTATGGTTTCAGGATAGTTCAAATCCTATGATGCTCCGATTCAACGCTCACCGATGATCTGACCCATGGGGCAAGTTTGTTTTCCTAAGAATCTATTTGAACATTTCGAGAGCATATGTTTGAACATTTAGAGTGCATATGAACATATATTTTCGAAAGGTCGCCTCCGAGGGGATAAATCACCATGTCGAATCTTGCATTTTTGTTCCTGCCTCTCGCGTTCTCTTCTCTTCCCGCTGTCCTACCTTTCGTGTCTCCCTCCTCTCAAGTCATATCCAACTTCAACGCAAGACTTTGCGCCTCTCTGCCTTCTATTTTCCCATGCCTGACAGCAGTTGAAGTGCGCTGTCGACTTCACCCCAGAACCATTAATGTCTTCTTACGGAGGCTGGCTTTCGCCCCCTCCCATATCAGGTTTGTTTGGCAGTCTAATTTCTTGTTTGGTTGATCTTGCTTTGATTATGTTTGTTTGACTGCCCACGAAAGAATTGACTACACGGTCGCCGTAAATACTATTGACAGACATGTAGCAGGTCAATCCATTCGTAAACCCGTGGAAGGGATTGGAAGGGATCAAAAGTGAGATCTTCTGGCGTTCATTCTTAAGCTTGGGACTGACTAGGGGCTTTGCTTGTGGGTATGGTTCCAACATGTTACTATTTTAAACATTTATATATCAAGGTTGAACAAGCTGTGATTCCACCAAGCTGTGTGAAACGGAGAGGTTCCCCATAGTCCTGTCAAGCACCTTCCTTGAAGCGAAGTGGCAATTGGTAAAGACGGAACACGTTTTTGTTCCAGCATGTGATGCAGTTGCACGGGTACTCGTAGTATCTCGTAGTCGAAATGTTCCTAATCTGATAACTACAAACCCGGGGGTTGCTTGGTAACGCAACACTACCTCGAAAACAAATGGGCTGTTGAAATAACCCCGCGCTCAGCGGTTCAGTATTGGTATGCACCTTAACACTACTAATGCAAACCTACCCCAGAAAACGATAAGAGTAAAAAAACGATAACAACGATTATACCTGCGCATTCAGAACAGAAAGCTACTAGGGGCCCCTGGCCTTACTACTAGGAACATGAAGCTACTAGGGACTCCTGGCCTTACTACTAGGAACAAGAAGCTACTAGGGACTCCTGGCCTTAAGAAGCTACTAGGGACTCCTTGCCTTGCTACTAAGAACAATAACAAAAAGCTACTCGGGACTCCTTGCCTGACTACAAAGCAACATCGCTACCAGGAACAAGAAGCTCTTAGGGGCTCCTGGCCTTACTACTAGGAACTGAATGGGCTGTTTGGTCCATATACTGCAGCTGTTTACATGATTAATCACGAAGATGGCAACCTGCAGAGGTGTCCGGAACGATAACAAAACAATAACGAAAACGATAAGGACATGTAGCAAAAAGCAGCCCTGGTGGGCAAGTACCATTTGATTGTTTTCATTAGACCTTTTGAAGGGCAGAAGTGTGCGATGTGGTAGTCTTGTTTAGCTGTCTATATCTGATTTATGCTGCTGCCATGTCTTTACCACCAAAGACGGTGTACGCCTTGGTACAGGCAGTGCTAAGGGATCCTGAAGTAGGACCATGTAGACCACCAAAACTACCACCAAAGGTGTGATCTTCCACCAAAGATGCTTTCACCTGAGAAAACGACAAGAGTACAATAAAGCGATAACATGGTTTCGAGGTATTGCAAAAGACACGGGGTTTTTTTCAACACCCCAAATGAACAATGAACAAATTGTTTGAGCAGGTGGCAGCTGCATTTTTTGCAATCACGCCCATCCTTGAAGAATTGATGCAAATGCGAATGAGGTTTCATTGGGGTGAACACTTGCGATCAGTGCGAAGTGCGTGTGTTTGAAAACATCGGCCTTCGCAATCTTCAGGTGCAGCAGTGCTCATCCCGTTGTGATGCAGCCAGGGCGGCAGACAACACGATGTGTTTAAGTTTTAAATTGTTTCAAGCGTGTGCGATGTTTCTAGGCAACCTGTACGACCTTGGCTACTTGGTCACCTGTTCAGACCTTGGCAAAGTCGCGTGTGTCCTTCAACTATGTTCTACACTGAAAGCTTCGTTTCACTTCGTTTCACTGTGTGTTTGTCACTCTGATGGACTCAGAACTTGACCCAAACCTCGAGCAACACATCCTTCCCGTGTGTTGCCGAAGGACGGGCCTTCTTTGCAAAGAATTCTGAGGTTGAATGACTCCAAACCCTTTGATTGTGTTTTTGTGATCCAATCATGATCCAATCAATGGAAAAACATCATGTTTTGATTCAAAATGACCTGGCATTGCGATCGAAAGTACTTGTCAAGCTGCGCTTCAACTTGCATGCATTCCTGTGAAAGATTGACTCACTCACTGATAAAAGGTTAATTGCCAGAAACGCATGTACGCACCGATCCATCACAAGAGAAGAACCTGTACAGTATATAATCCGCTATTGAACGATTGCACAAAGGTTGAAGTGAGCAAGGCCCAACCAAATGTGAATCCGGCCCTATGAATCTTCACTGCCGAACCAGAATAGCGAAGAGGGTTCGACAACATGTCAGTTTCACTTATATTTGGTTTCAGGAGTGGATTCGGTGCAGCTTATGGATGACTGCCTGGAAATGACAGGCCTAGACGATGCAGATGCACGGCTTTCTTGTTTGTTCATGGTTCTTGATGCATGATAATGCATGTGTGTCATAAGTCACAAGTGTGTCATCAGTGGCGATGTGACAAGTTTCAAACACAATCCAAGGCAGTTTGATGAGCAAGCTCCGAGTTACAAAGGTTGCACAGATTAGATTAGATCTGCGTAGATTGGGCAAGAGGAAAGGGATACAAAGGTGAACTCATTTGAGTTGTGTATGGGCCAAAGGTTTGGCTGGGGGCGGGTTTCGCGCGGTGTGCGGCAGTGTAACAGCTGTGTGGGTTGGGTTCGGATTACGGGGAATGCTGCGAGAGATGGCGCAGGCCAGCTTTTGTTTTGCATGGTTTTGCAGCAGGAAAAGCGTCACAGGTTTCAATGGCTGGCTGCGGGAGGTTACGGAGTGGATTGCATGGGCACGATAATTGCGATTGGAAAAGTCAAACATTTATGCAGGAAAAGAAGTTCAGCCTTCTGCTAGACAGACTATATATATATAGAGCAAAGAGAGAGAGAGAGAGAGATCAATTGAAATTTCTGGAGAATTATTCAGGAGAGCTGCCTGAAGAAAAGATAAGAAAGGTGTGGGGGAGTTGTGACTTGTAGAGGAAAGTAGGAGACGTATAGCAAAGTCAGGGCCTAGCTTTAGACATTGCGTCTTGGATGTTGCTGCGCTTTGCAGGCTTGCGACACCTGCTTGGACAGGTTGTATTCATGGCACAGCGCATTAGCAAGATCAAATTGCACACCAGCACAAATCACTTGCATTTAACCACACATTGCATCAGAAGCATCACATCGCCATGTGACAATCACCACGTTGCACTTCACCACCTATCAAGTCACGTTACGATGAACTCACAAAGCATCACGCCATCGCATTGCACTTCATATCGGACTTGCACTAACTGCATATAATTGCATTGCGAAACTTCCACCCACCAGCCGAGCCAGAGATTGCCTCTTACTGTGTAAATACGTGTAAATATTCTTCTTGAGTTGAGTTGCACTGCTACTAGTTATTTTTACCGTGTGTTCTGTTTAATCTATGCTGGTGCTGCTTTGCCAGACCAGTTGCCAGCCTCCGCTATGTGTGGCCATGTGGGCTTTACTGCCACAAGCACCATTTTCGATGCCTTAGGCCTGGTTCGCCCGAAACTACTCCAGTTGCGAACGTTTATCAACTGTTCACAGTCCGAAGCCCTGGCTGGAATGACTATGCAAAAGATTGCAAAAGTCAGGAGATGCGCCTGTTGATTGTGAACTTGCGCCAAGCTGCCCAGCGAGCGTGTTGGAGACAACACGGCAAGGGCCTGAGCATTGCAAGCTGCCAGGTATTGTAACTGCTGTCGCCCATCGCCGGCCCTGCCGGGGTGCCCCTCAATCAGTTTACTCGTCATGTAACATCATGTGAGCACCTATCAAAACCTGTCCTTATGTAACACTTATGTAGCTTGATTAAAGAGGAGGCTGGACATCATTCTTGAACAGTTTGATAGTAAGGATAACCTCAAGAACGATAGGGTCGGGAACAAAAGACAATACTCGATGTTGTATAGTTCTGATTCCTGATATATAAAACTGTGTCGAGCTTTGGGCAGGTTTGGGTGCACAGTCTTCATTACATTTGATACACTGTCCATTTTGGCTCAAGCCAAAAGTGGGACGGTGGAGTTTCTGTTCTGCTAAGTTTTGCGGTGTGTGCTGTGGATGGCTTCACAGCATATCGTCGGTGTGCATGTCGCCATGTTCACGGCTGCTGAGGTGCTTTCGTCCGCCGCGTTCATCGAGTTCCGTCGCCAGGTTGATGCCCTTTTGGCCCGGGGGGACCGGGCAGGCGCAATGCGGCTCTGGAGCTCGGTGGTTCTATTCGAACACATGCCTCCGTCTTCACGCCCGGGGGACGGGCCAGCTGGTTTTCCCCCTATGCGGATCTCAGTCTGTCCTAAGAGTACATGCCCACGTTGCGATCAGGGGCGAGGGGGCTATGTTTTCCCGTGGGTCGGGATTTGGAACCGGCGCGGGACGATCGTGCCACCAGGGTTCACCCCTCAGCAGGCCTGGGATAGGCATGCCCGGTTGGACGCTGACATGGACCTCCTCCTATTGCAGCCCTACCGTACCCCGTACTCTGCTGAGAATTTTGTGCCCTCCTACCTGTGGGAGTTCCAGCAGAAGGTTCCCGGGGATTTTGACCTCTTGCCCTTGCAAACCTTTCAATCTGAAGTCCTCTACTACATGCGGCACTGGATCATGGGATCACCACATGGGTTGTGGTCCAACCCCTTTCGTGCCCCGCTGCCAGATATCGAGCCCCTGCCGCGCCATCTGGAAGCTCTTCACCCGAAGATTCGTGCCCATCGAGCCCTTCGTGGATGGTTGGGGTCCTCAATCAACGGAGAGTCTGAGTTTCCTCCAGCGTGTTGCGGCTCTGGTGATCCCACTTATCGGCAGTGCCTTGGTTGTATCAAAGGAGTGTGTTCCGCCTGTTTCCCAGTGCTCCAAATCTGTCCGGTTTGCCGCGAACTTTCGTCGTCTGATGACGATAGTGGGTAGTTCAGCGGGTGCGCAAGCCATGGTGTACCGTGCGCAAGTCGCTGGAGCTGTGGACGCTCCGCCGGATGAGCCGGCCTCGTCCTCTGGTTGGCGAGCCGAAGATAGCCTCGCTCGTGTGGCAGGGGCCCGTGCTGTCACATGGCGACGTGAGCGGGGCTATGAGAAGGACGAGGACTTCGCATTTGCCTTCTCTACCTGGGAGGAAGCGGTGGCCGTGGGCGGCCATTTCTTGGCAGATGCTTGGCTGGCTGTCCGTGTCGCCCAGCAAGATGAACTCCTTCCTGCAGCTGCTCGTTTGATCGAGGGGGGACCTCTGTTGCCGGATACACGTCCTCCACTGGCTCGCAAGAGGAAGGCAGTTCCACTTCTTCATGAACGGGTTCAGGATCAGCCCGAGTCCATACAGCGCCAGGTGTTGGCCTTGCAGAAGGTATTCCTGACAGTCGGTGCAATGAAGCCAGCCGGCCTGTTGACCGAGGCCCTGAAGCGGGATTGGCAGGCATCGGTCCTTCGCTTGGCCCAGACCAAGGTGGCGGAGTCTGAGTCGGTGACGATTCAGAATGCCCTCCGTGCTTACGGTGAGCTCCACGCCTTTTTGCTCCACCGAGGAAGGTCGTTCCCTCCGGATTTTGTGGACATGGACAACTTCCTGCATCAGGGGACGATGGCTCCCACCCGTGCGCTCAATGCGCTTCGCTGGTTGTGCAAGCATTCTGGAGCTCCTTGGGAAGTGGCTCGTCTTCGTATCTCGCCTGAGCTGAAGAAGAAAGCCACCTCTGCGAAGAGCCAAGCCCTTGTTGTGGAGCCCGGCATGCTGCAGTTGTTGGAGGAGCGCATCGAGAGCATGCGCCGTGGGGGGGACCCGCGTTGGACATGTCTCCTGGGCTCCTGCCAGGAAGGCCTAACCAGCACATTGGTGACGCCGGTGTCAAC